TCATGTAAGATGATATAACCAATGTAAGCCGACTTTCCTAATCAATTAATCTGCGCCACTAACTCAACCATAAAACAACGAAGTAGCCATTCTTATATTTACAACCAAAATTTTTGCTTAAATATGGCATTAAATATTTGCGCTCATCTAATAATAAACACAAAATCTTTGGAAGCGTTCGAATTCTAATGTCCACAAAATTAACAGTTTTTTTAAAATATTTTTACAACGGAAAGAAAACATTCTCCACAACTGTTTTTTCTTTCTAGCTTAAAGACACATGCTTGGTATGGAAATGCCTCAAATTGAAACTTCAAAATAAAATTTCCTCATTTACAATGTGCCAATTCCCTTGACTGCATCATTTCTTCACTATTCGAACCATTTCACTTTTCTGCGCAAAACAACGAGGATATAACGAATGAATTTTTCACATGTGTACTGCTTTTGCCACTTGATTCGACATACATGAATTTATGTATAATAAATGTATGCATATCAATTACAGATGTCTTTTACATGACCAAACATAATCAATCAGTCGTCAGTCCATTCAGCTGAGCTCATCAAGCAACCAACTTTCAATAACTAATTTGCTGTTAGCGGTTTGTTTCAGCCAGTATCCTTCTCACAATTATCGCCATATTACATGGTGATAAGCACATGGAGATATATATGGATGAACTGCTTAGTGATATAATAAATAATGTTCAGTGTATCTATGGTGATGGCGATGATGAAATAAAATAAGCGACATTCTCTTGACAACCACCATCCACTATGAGTTACTTTTACTTACTTCTTCGCCTACGTTATTAGTCACTATCTGAGCCATTGCCTTATATCACCATCAGACATCCCTCAACTCGAAACACAATATCGAGTCTATCATTTGTAAGCACCCACACCTAGATTCGTCAATGTTTTATATCAGTGACATTATTCACTTTTCAATAGCTGTCAAGTGCGCGTGCACACACTTTAACACACAAATGCATACGAATGCACAGAGGAACCAAATCGTGATAAACGTATATTTAATATAAGACATGACTTAGCTACCTTACTCCCTTCGTTTTCATGTTACTTCTGGAACAATACGTTAGAGAATTTAAATATGTACCGATAACCTTTACAGTCACGAAGGCAATCCATTCATTCAATACGTTATTCAATCATATACCTATAACTACCTATAGGACTGAAATGTTATATCACATCACCAGTATTAATTCACCAGATACATGTTTCAATGAGATGGATTCCTGAATGAATAAAACTCAACATGAAATGCCTTCAATAATATCACCAAAACAACAACAGCTTTATGTCATCCATCTGATCAAAGTTCCGAGGTTACTCATCAGTTTAAATATATACGTATTTCCATGCATTAGAATTGATAGTTAATTACTCAGCAAATGATACTTTTATTCTGCGATCACTCTCGAATAATTTAACTTTCCTTTGAACTGATCATGAATTCGCAGATTATTCCAAGATGCTCATCAAAATAACACTGTGAGTACAATCTCGTCAGATATTTACCGCACTCAACCTGAACCACTAACATGCATTCGTCGAATGCGCATTAGCAACTATCAAATATGATGCAAACAAAAGCAAATCCGTCGTTAAGATTCAGTATAATGCACGTTGTGAAGTACTCAAGAGAACAGCTACGATCACTCGTGTTCATTGTTATCAAAATGAACAAATCTCATTCTACCACTGCAATCGTCCACAACCACATAAAAATGCTCTCCAGTCATGCGTTTAAGTGATTTTATTACTACCGCTACAACCAATCCTACAACCGTCTCAAATTTGATTATGC